TTATTACATACTAAGCAGTCATTTTTGTGATATAGATCTGGTCTCCTGATCACTAGTTTGACCATTTTCAGTAGTTCATTGTTGATTAATTTCACCAGAAAACTTTTTTGCTATAAGCTTTTAAAGGAAGTATCTTATGTATGTTTCTTTTTTAGCCTTTCACATACTGTGTCCCATAAGTAGTTCTGCTGGTCTTCTATTTGAAGATTCCATTTGTCCCTAGTTTGGTTTTGTTGTGATCAACAGTATATTGTTGTTTTATTATTTATTCTTTTTATGAATTGTCTTATGGGACTATTCAGTGTTACATCCTGCCATTTCTTTAATAATCTTATCAGATTTAATATCCTTCTACTGGATTGTTGAGAGGTTTAGCACTTCTTTAGCCAACTTGTCTGCTAAGTTATTTTCCTTAATATTGGTATGTACCTTAACTTTAATCAACTTCAACTTTATGTTTTTTTTTTTGACGATATTTAGCATTCGTGTCCAAAGAGACCAATTTTTTTCTTTCAGCCATCTTCTATGAGTCATACTTGGATCCTCTTTTTCCAACTTGTACCATTTAGATATACATGTTTGACTATCTGTATAGATTTCAACTTAGCTTTCTACTAGTATCACCAATAGGATTGTAACTATTATTGCTAGCTCTGCTCTTGTAGATGATGGCCAATTTTGTATACCTGCCTGGAAACTACTTCCTTGACCTTTACCCTTTGTTTGAATTCATGCCATCCCTATTCTGACTGTTTCTTTTCCATGATCTATTAGGGATCCATCTGAATAGAACTGGAAATTCTCATGTTCTTCAAGGTTTTTTCGTAAAATTTCTTTTAAACAGTCTTGATAGATTCCTTCTTGAATGTATTTTTCAATAATCCTTGTTTTCTATCTTTCAATTATTATTTGTGGTAGTTGATTTCTATTTACTTGAGATGTTATAGTATATTGGATATTGTCTACTATTTTGCTCTCCAGTATTTCTTTTTTTATTAGAATCTTTAGTTCTTTGGCAATTCTTGTTAATTTGCATTTGTTCAAGAAAGTGATCTCATAAAGCTTGTCTTTGTTTTCATTTATAATACAAGCACTGTTACTGAGTATGCCCTCTGCACATCCTTTGCACTGAGACAAAGTTGTTCCCTGGTTTTCTGTTTGTTCTTCACAATTAAAGTGTACCAGTTTCTTTTCTGATATTGAAACTTTTCCCCAAATTAATCTTGTTGAACTTTTGTTCAGAATACATCAGATTTTTTATCTCTTGTCCCTACTTAAGTTGAGTTTTGGATAGTTAGGTTCCCATGAGATATTGTTATCATACTATTTCTCTATGATTTCTTCTATTGTTTTTTTGAATTATAATATAATACAAGCATAATACAATGAATAATATATGGTATATAACTTAAATTATAATATAATATAACAAATAATAGTATAATATTATATGTAATTCCAAATTATATTAAAACAATACAAATAATTTTATTTAAATAATTCTTTATTAATTTAATATTTTTTTGACAATATATTTAATTTAAAAAGTCAATAAAAAATTTAATCAAGCAAACTTTTTATAGAGAATATTCATCTTTATCTTTACAACTTTTACAGCTTTTTCTATTATTGCAAATTTTCTTTGTATTAACTGTATTACAAACAGCAACAGTTTGTTTAGTAATACCTGGTTTCAAATTTTAAATTCTTATAATAATGATTAAATTGCTTTAAAAAAGGCATCTATTATATTACCTGAAATATTGATATTTAAAGTTCACAAATATCAATTTTGAAAGTTAAATTATTATCCAAAACTTGAATCAGAAAGGACATTAAAAAAGATTAGAATTAAATTATTATCAAATTATTAAAATTTATTTTCATTGATTAATCAATTTATTTAAAAAATTAAAAATTCTATATGCAGGTCAAAAAACTAGAAACAGAAAAAACTGACTTTATAAAACAATTAGACCTAATAAAATATATTAATAATAAATTTCTGAAAAATTAGAATAGCAAAAAAATAAAATAAATAATTAAAAAAAAAATTGATCAGTTCAAATCTGTAAACTTAAACTTGATTTTATAGTAATTGTAGAATCTAGAGTAACTAAAATATTAAAATCTAAAAGTTTGTCGAGTTTAGAAAAATACTAAAGAATTCAACCTAAGAGAAATAATAAAAAGATAAAACTAGTTATCAAAGATAAGCTGAAACTAGAAAAGGTATGATAGAAAATGAAAGCCTTAATAAAAACTATTTCTGACAAATATAAACTGAAGGTAGATAAAGTTTTTTTAAGTAATGTGGATAAAAAAATATTACAAAAGTTAATATTTAAATAATGAAATCTATGGCTCTATGTTTTAATCTCTCATAAAAACAAATAAATAAATAGTTAGATACTTTACATCACTATCAGAAAGAAAGATATTAGAAAATCAAAGATGGAAAACTGAAAGTGAACAATTATTATTTACATGTAAACAGCTAATTAAATGAAGTAAGACTAATATTATTTTGTATTTATATTATCTTCAAGTATTAATTTTAACAAATAATTAAGAAAAAGTATTAAAAATTAAAAGTGCACAGTTGCTTATTAAACAAAAGTTTAAAAAAATTGTCAAATATTGAAATAAATTAACTTATATGATAAAAGTAACAAAGATTTATTTCCCTGAAGAAAGTAAGATTGATTCAGGAAATTCTACTAAAGAAGAATAAACATATATAATTATAGTTAGAATTCTGAAGAGATATAGTATTTTTTGGTAAAATATTTTGTCCAAATAATTACAATATTAATTATAATTACTTATAGTTAAAGGATTTGTAAAATATTTGAATAAACATTTGAAATCAATTTAAGTATTACAACTAACTCATAAATAATATCATGATGATTTATATTTCTATAATATAATATTATTAGAAGGCTTGCTAAATTGAGTATATACAGTGGTGGCAATAAATAATAACAATCAAAGTAATATAATAAACTTTAATCAATTTTTATTTTTAGATTATAAAATTTTAGATATATATAGCTTAGAATCTATTATTTATTTTTTTTAATATTTTGTCTCACTTCCCTTATTGTCTATTACTAATTTTATTCTCTTAGACATTGATCGTACTAATTTGCGACATAACTCTACGTCAATCTTATTCCATTCCTCCTTTATTAAACTTGTAAAATCACTTTGCGAAACTATTTTTTTTTTATAAATCTCAAAATTAACACTTTTTTCGACTTTTTTTTTTAGTAAGTCCCACAGATTCTCTATCGGATTGAGATCTGGGGATGAAGATGGCCAATCGAGTACACGCAGACATCGTTCCTGCAACAAATCAATGGTAAGCTTTGCACGATGCTTAGGATCGTTGTCCTTCTGAAATACCCATATGCGACCTAGAACCCTATTGACTTGTTCAAATAAATTTTGGGTAATTATTTCGTGATAGAGTTCGCCGTTCATGTTTTCTGTGAAAGTATGGAAGCCAATAATTTCCTTGCTGCAAAACAAAGCCCACACATGAACTTTAAACAGGTATTTTACAACCCCACGAGATAGAAATGGCTCTCCAGCTTTATAACGAACCTGTGTCATATTGCGAAACATTTGGGAGGTGGCTTCATCAGAAAAAATCATTCTATTCCATCATTTATTTTGATGTTTTTGCACCCAGGTAAGTCGACGTTCCATAGCTGCATCACTAAGAAGGGGAACTTTATGGGGAATGCACACCTTATATCCAAGTTTCTGAAGGTTATCACGAACTGTCCGTGGTGAAATATTAAGGCCTTGGTAAGTGTTGTTGAGTGTCTCAGCTAGTTCTTTGCTTGTCGTGGTTCTATTTTCTACGGTGATCTTTCCAAGGTACTTTCTTTGTGCAAGGCTAAAAAGACAAGGATGGTCAGGACGCTTGCCCTGTCTCAATTCTCTAGCACTAGCAAGCTGGGCGATCCATCTATAAAGTGTTTTACTGGGAAATCCGGTGAGTTTTCTGAGTTTCCTGATTTCTCTATGTCCGTGATCCCAAAGCCTCTTAATGAGGAGACGACGTTTCGCAAGCAAAGTCATGTGTTATACGGGTGACACTAAAAACTTTTTTTTTTTATTCTAAAAGGCTTAACGAACATATTCCTAACTAAATTTGGTATAGACATGACAAAAAAAAGATTGGGTGGTGTGATTTCTAAAAAAAATGAAATTGTCATTATTTATTGTCACCACTGTAAAACTTACGCGGTGATAAGGAAATGAACACCAGATGCATATTTCATTTGACATATACAAGCCAAACAAAATTTGTTTTTTCACAGTTTCAGCTCATCGATCAGAATTATCGAGCAACAACTCCCATTTCACGTAAACCATCTTACTTTAGCAATTAAAAGATTGTGATGACGATCGTGATTATATTACGTGTGCGTTCCACTTTTACCAAGAATAAGTTATGAAAATCATTTATCTCCAGTGTAAATGTTGGAATTGAATAACTTTAACCGCTGATCTGGAAATTCGAAATGTAAACGTCTAAAATGACGGACCAATGTTTACATTCACCCCTTTTGTCACAAATCCCGGAAAGACCGCAGTGATAACGGTGGTACCAATGTGAGCACGTAATAACATTTTTTTGAATCTAGTTATTCGTAATTATTAATTTCGTTGTCGATGATCTTTGCCGGAATCGTAAGTTCATTAGAAAGACACGAGAGATGCACCAATGAAAACATTAGAATTGAACGTGAACAAAAATAATAAAGAAAAGACCTAATGCGCATACTTGATCGTTTTTGTTAATTTGGCAATTAATGCATCCAATTAAAGTTCTTTTTTTTTTATGTATGTAATTGAAAACGAATATACATATTCAAAATCAAAACCCCTATAACCACTATTTCAAGATTTGCAGTAATTTCACGGAGCGCAGAGAAAATAAATGTAATGCAACCATTTTCCTCCCATCCATCTTTAAATCATCATCTCCCCTGTTCGCGAGCATCACGAGCGCCAGTCCCAGTAATGGCTCTAGCCTGAGTGTAACCGATAGCGTTCCTACTCTTTACAACGCCTAACTGAACCAGCCCAAAATTCGCCGCCTCGAATCCAAGCCATGCGGAGGTGGCAGCGATCGCGCCTATGGCGGCGATTATTAAGAGAACACAGGCAACGGGGAGGAAAATTATAAATCCCAAAAATGTAAAAAACCCCTGGGCGATCACAATTCCCACCCCAGCCAAGGATGACACGAATCCGAGTGTCAAAATAATCCAACCTAAAAATATGGCTAACGGAATGCAATTGAATAATCCAAGTGCATACGCAAACCAGCGAAGCGGCGGCAAGTTTTTCCACAAATAGGTTGCCATGTTTGATGCAGGTTGGAGGAGGGGATTGATATAAGATCGTAACGACTCCATATAACCGTGACTAATTCTTGAGGCAGTTTCGTATGCCTGCGTTCCGTAATCCTTTGCAGTTTCAAGTCCCTCTTGGGCCGTGCGACCAAAAGTACTGGAACCACTATTTTGTTCCATTTTGGGATATTAAATTTCTGAAAGATATGAGAATAATGTATGAGGGCAACCTCGAATGCTTTATTTTTATTTTTTATTTTTTTAGAAAACGCTGGTAAAAGGTCATAAATCTCACGGTTTAAATGTAGAAGTTTATATAGACAATATTTTTTGCTCTCATCAACGAATGTATCAGTGTTTCGTAACTATGAACAAAAAATGACACATTGAAGTCATAGTCTCTATGATTACTGCATTTGATAACACTCCCAATTTGTAGAGGCGACGAAAGCGGGAAACGTGATGATCCGATCTAACCAGTTTGCTTGTCGCTTGTCGCGAACATGCTGCTGTTGCTCGATTCCCTGGAGAAACTTGAGGTCGCATATCCTTATCGTTTAAGGTGAACCTTAAGTTTTGTTAATACAGTAATTCGAGAAGGAAGGACTCTCAAAGGGCAATTGTGTTGTTCGGACAACTCGCGGAAAGAGATTAAGTTAAGAAATATCTTTTTAAAGAAGAATCATAACATGGCCTGATATGTTTCGACGCACCATTATTTCTATGATTCATTATCACCACTCCAATTACTTTGATAATCTTTCACTTCTCTGATACTAACTAGTCTCGTCGTAACAATGATTATCGATTTGAAAACAATATATTATTTTTATTTAATTAAAATTGGTAATAGCAAATACTAGGATTCTAAAATTTAATATACTCTAGATTTATAATATTGGTTTGTTTTATTTTTATTTTTTTTAATATCTTATCATTTTCTATTAGTTTCAATATACGGTATAAATAAAAAGGGCATTTCGTTAAAAAAAAAAGAAAAAAAGGAAAAGGAAAAATTTTTTTTTTTTTTGATCATAATTGAATTGTTAAAATGAAAAAATCCAGATCTTATAAATGTAATAATAATAGAAAAAAATATTCATCAAATTTCAATAAATGGTTCATATGTATGAAATCAATCGATAAATATAGCATCTTATAATTTACTTAAACTATTTTATTTCTTTATAAATAAATGGGTTTTTAAAACTTTGTTTTTTTAATATCAAAATTCTTAAAATATTCAAATTAATATAATAATAATCGTAATATTTATCTTTGTTATAAAAAATTTGGAATTAAATTATTTATAATATATATATAGCATAATATATAGTACTAATATACAATATATATTAAAATTAAAGAAACTTAATAATATATAAAATAAAAATATAAAATAAATATTAATAAAAAATAAAATATTTAATTTGTTAATCTAAAAGATATAAATTATAAAATTTGCAAATTTCAAATAAAAAAATATCTTAAATAATATAAAAAATTTACTTAAAATTCTTTTTTATTAATCCTTTAACTATATATAAAAAAAGATATATATCAAAATTTTTTTTTATTTTTTTGATTAATAAAATCTTATTACTATTCTTAAAGAATTATTTTTATATCTTTTTTTTTGTTTGTAAATCTTTTTTTCAAAACTTGATTTCAAATAATCAAGAAAAATTATGTAATATCTTTATTATTAATAGCAAAAAAGTTTTTTTTTTTTTAAAAAAAATTAATTGTCAAGTATTTAAAAATCTTGATATCTTTAAAACAAGTGTTTATAAAGATTTGTTATAACAAAAAAGCTTATTTTTTTTATTGACTATTTTAACTCTTCAAAGTTTTTATTTTTATAGTTTTTAAAAAATTTTATCCATCTCAATTTAATTTTAAATTTTTAAATAATATAATTCTTATTAAAAATAATTGATTAATATAAAATATATTAATTTCTTAAATATAAACAAGTTTTAATTGATTATATCTATATATTTTATGAATGTTACAAATATTTAAAAAAAATATATTTAAAAAATATTTTTTTTCAATTAAATAGATTTATAAAAAAAATAATTATAATACTAAAATATAAATGAAAAGTTATACTATATAACTTATTAACTTTTATTTTTATTAAGTTTTTTAAATAATAAAAAATTTTTGTTTAAAAAAATTGAAATCTTTAAGTTTTTATTTTAATTAAATAAAATTTTTGAAAAAATCTTATTATTTAAAAATAATTAAGTTCTTTAAATAATTTAAAATTGAAGAATATTCTATTTAAATAAATCCTTTTTAAAAAAAAGTTATTAAATTAATTAAAAAATTTTAAAAATTTTAAATTATTTATGTTTTCTTTTTTTTTTAATTTAAAATTAACAAACTATTATTTTTAAAATAATTTATTAGAATAAACTATAAATAATAATTTTAATAAATAAAAATAAAATATCAATTTATTAGAAAAGTGATATATCATTTTTTAAATTTAACTTAAAACATTTAATTTAAATTTTATCTTATTTAATTCAAATTAATTTAATAAATTTCTCATATTTTTTAAATAATATAGTCTTTTAACTAATAATATATAAGAATAAGTTGATTATTATATTCAAAAAAAAAAATTGATCCTATAGATACATATGATAGAACTAATAAAAAGGAAAAATATAAATTTAAAGCTCACAAAAGTCAAGGCACACTCAAATACCCTTATAATAAAAAAACAGATACCTTAGCTAAAGAAGCTCTAAAATTTCTATCGATTGAATGAAAAGATCTTACTTAATACAAAATTATAACTGAAATCAAGTGGCAAAGAACAACTCTAGATAATCTAATTAGGTAGTTTTTTAATAATATTAATAATAAGACAACAGCCTATTAGTAAACACAACAGAACAGAATAGAAAAAAAATAGAATCATCAAATTTCAGAATACTAGACTCACATATGGGATTTATTATGGAAAAGGATTAAATATAGACATATGTGAGATACATCTTTTAAACAATTTTAATAAAGAAGCTTTCTTATTAAACTGACTAATAACAAGCTACTCACCTTAAATAAGTTGATTATAAAAAAACTGAATCTATAAAAGCAAGTGAAATGCATTGCATGTAATTGACAAGATAAAACCATAGAATACTTACTAAAATATTTAGTCTATAAAGATTAATTATAAGAGGTATAGAATAAAAAAGCAAATAGAATTATTAAAAACTTTAAAGAATTATTATAAAAAAGAAAGAGAGAGGTTGAAGAAAAAAATTTCAGGTCAATTATTGATAACTATGAAGAAATAAAAGAGTTTGACAAGTAGATCACTAAAGTAGTGGAACAAACTTCTAGAACAAGTCAAAATATACTAAGTTTCTGTACTGATCTTATAAGAACTGACCTTATCCTAGAAATAGTAGACCTAAAATGTCAAGGTAAATATATAGGAAAAATAGCAAAAAAGTGAATAATAAAAATACAAAAAAAAATCTGCAATCAAATTCAAAAAGAAGTCTGAAACAAGAGATATAAAAAAATAATCAAATAGAAATGAATACAAGAAATTAATAAAAAAGACAAAATTAAAAGATCTTCTTGTCTATTAGGTTAGAAAACAATGACTTTAAAGAAAAAAAATCTACTACCTGAAAAAGAAAACCTTGAAGATGAAAGTCTTCGAAAAATTTTAACAAGAGTATAGTATAGAATAAAATGGTTAAGTTTTAAGCTCTGTCAGAACCTTACAGTGTAATCTGTAATAGTAACTTGTAGGCAATGAAGTTAACAATTGGAAGGGTCTTTACCTGAACTACTAACGGAGTGATAAAGCACTTCCAAAGTTGTACTTAGAGTTTTAATAATTCTTAAAATAGAGACGAGTAAGTTAAGTAGAGACTTAGCTTTAGTGATATACGTATCTTTAATGTAAAGTATATATATATTTAATAAAGCACACATACCTAACTTGACAGAGGGTTTAAAAAAAAAAATAAGTTGATTATTATATGAATACTCAATAAAATATTATATAATATATCTATAAAAATATATTATAATAATTCAATTTAAATTAAAAAAAAATTAATATAATTTATCTATTATATTTTTTATATTAATACTATATTAAAAAAGTTTAATTAAAATAAAAATTTGAAAATTATAACTTTAATAAAACTTTTTTATTATTTGAAAAACTTGATTAAAAAGAATTTTTTTAATATATTTTTTCATTTTATTTTTTTTTAAATATTGACTAGGCTGAAACTTTATTGAGAAGTTCTTACATGACATAGAAAAAACAGAGTTCTTCTGAAGTACATAAAAAATATTTGAATAAATAAAGTGTTACAATAGAAAAGCTTCTTTATGGAGACTTCACCTTGTGACCTAGTCACCTCTTAAAAAAAAAAGAGAACTAGTTTAAGGGTTAACTAGTTGCTAAAAATTTTTTTTAAAACTATACAAATTACTAAATAATTGATCTAAATTTTCTATACCTTTTGATAATTTATTAAAGATTAATGTTGACCAATCTGACACCTTATGAATTATTCACTAGAATGCTATATCTTGTTATCTTTAGATAGAAGTGAAGTGAAAAAAGGGTAGAGGATTACTCATTCAAAGATCTAATGAATTTTATGACCAAAAAGGTACCTTAAAACCTTTGGTGAGATTGACAAATCCAATCCCGTAAGTAATATTATTTTCAAGCATATGTTACTTATTTAAGAAGATACAAAACTTCCAAAGATAGATTAAGACTAGAGGGGATTCTTCCATTCTAACAATTGTTTTCAACTAGTACTCTCATTGCAAGTAAGAATGGTAGGTATTACTGGCAGCTTTAAAACCTTTCTTGAGTAGGAGATTCATTGAGAACCTTAGTGTGAAACTTTGATTTGTAATTCTTCAGCAAACTATGAATCAGGAGTAAAAAATCTACTGATTGAGAAAAAACTTCGTATCTAATTTATTTGTTTTTTATAAAAAAGAAAACAGATTTTTATTTATTTATAAAAGCAAGTAGAACCTACTTGACTGCCAAGGGATAGGGACTTTTAGATTTATTATATCAATGTTTTTTATAACAATATTTTATTGGCTTTCTGTTACTATCAGTGG